TTCCATTTCTGGAGTGCGTCTCTGCATAAGTCGTGCCTTGCTCGAATCCAGTTCCATGTCAGTCCCCAGCATCACTCAATGTTAAAGTTCTCATTACGTAGAGTCTTAACTGTCTAAATTGTAGGAATGTAGTTATGGAATGTAGATGAGCTAAAGAATACTGAAAAAATACCACTGAGTTTTTAAGAAATTTTTAGATAAACTTGGGAAATATATAGAAATACATCAATATCATTGAAAATCTTTATAAGTTCTTTGGAAATCTTTTAAATCTTTGAAAATATTCTGCAAACACTTGGAATTCTGTAGGAAGAAAGTCTTAGAAAAAAACCTGTAAATTATCTTAGGAAGCCGTAAATCTGCTTAATAATCCCTTAGTTCTATTGAAAATCATTAGAAATTTTATGGAATTCACCTGAATGTTTCCAAAAATCTTTAGACGTTTTCTGGAAATTCTTGAAATCTTTTGAAAAACCTGGTTCTCCAACTACCAATTTCGTAGAAATCCCTGAGTGTTCTCGAGAAGTCATAAAAATTCCTGAAAATATTCAGAATCTTTTCGATTTTTTAATTGAACACTTTTTATTGAAAACATTTTTGGAAATCCTTTAAATCTTTCAAATCATCTAGAAACATCTGGAATTCCTTAGAAATCCTAGATTTTCTTAAGAATTTCAATGTAATCCTACAAATTTAAGAGTAATTTCTAGAAAGCCTAGATTTTCTTAATTATCTTTTGACACTCTTAGAAATTATCATAAATTCTATGGAAAATTACCTTGAAATCTTTTGGAAATAATCTTTGGATTTAGGAATATCGTTGGCAACTCAAGTAATCGCTTAATACTTCCAGAAATTATTATAATTTTTTATTATTTTTTTTTTTTATTATAATTTAGAATTCCCTAAATATACTTTAGAATTTTAAATCTTTGACAAGTCTTCAAAATTTTGAACAATTTTAGGAAAACTTGGATTTTTTAATAATTCAACCTTTGATCATCTCTACAAATATTTTTAATCATTACAAATTCTTTAAAAGTAGCCAGAATTAATGTTTTGGAAATTCGCGTAAAGTTTTAAAATCCTAAGAATATTTTGGAAATCCTTAAAAAATCGTAATCCGTAAAAACTTTAGAATATTCTTAGCTGCCCTTACAAATCATTAAAATCTCTTAGAAATTAGTTTATAATGTTAGGAAATTTATTCTTTTCTCAAATCATTTGGCACTTTCGGAAATTATTATAATTTTTGCGGAAATCCTTGGCAGTGGTCTGCAGATTTTCTGGAAATCGTTACATATCTTTGATTTGCCTGAAAATATCTTTGATATCTTTTAGAAAACTTGTAAATACCTAAAATTTGCCTGAAATGTTTTGATATTGTTAAGAAAATCCTGCAACATGGAATGGTACTAGAACCACTGCCTCAGCTTCTAAGTAATGAATTTGTATTAAAGAAAATTTTATTTTAAGTACTAGAGCCACTGCTTCGGCAGCACGGCTGCCTCGGCTTCTAAATAATATGTTATTGTTGAAAACCTAAATACTGCCTCGGCAGCATGGCTGCCTCGGCTTTTAAGTAATGTATTTGTATAAAAAAAATCTTTACTTTATTTTAAATAATAGAGCCACTGTCTCGGCAGCACAGCTATCTCGGTTTCTAAATAATATGTTATTATTGAAAACCTTGAATTACTTCCTCGGCAGCATGGCTGCCTCGGCTTTTAAATAATGTATTTGTATAAAAGAAATCTTTACTTTATTTTAAATAATAGACCCACTGCCTCGGCAGCATAGCTACCTCGGTTTCTAAATAATATGTTATTATTGAAAACCTTGAATTACTGCCTCGGCAGCATGGCTGCCTCGGCTTTTAAATGATGTGTTTGTATTAAAGAAATCTTTACTTTATTTTGAATAATAGAGCCACTGCCTCGGCAGCATAGCTACCTCGGTTTCTAAATAATATGTTATTATTGAAAACCTTGAATTACTGCCTCGGCATCATGCCTGCCTCGGCTTTTAAGTAATGTATTTGTATTAAAGAAATCTTTACTTTATTTTAAATAATAGAGCCACTGCCTCGGCAGCATACCTACCTCGGTTTCTAAATAATATGTTATTATTGAAAACTTTGAATTACTGCCTCGGCAGCATGGCTGCCTCGGCTTTTAAGTAATGTATTTGTATTAAAGAAAACTGTACTTTATTTTAAATAATAGAGCCACTGCCTCGGTAGCACAGCTATCTCGGTTTCTAAATAATGCGTTATTATTGAAAACCTTGAATTACTGCCTCGGCAGCATGGCTGCCTCGGCTTTTAAGTAATGTATTTGTATTAAAGAAAACTGTACTTTATTTTAAATAATAGAGCCACTGCCTCGGTAGCACAGCTATCTCGGTTTCTAAATAATGCGTTATTATTGAAAACCTTGAATTACTGCCTCGGCAGCATGGCTGCCTCGGCTTTTAAGTAGTTTATTTGTATAAAAGAAATCTTTACTTTATTTTAAATAATAGAGCCACTGCCTCGGCAGCATAGCTACCTCGGTTTCTAAATAATATGTTATTATTGAAAACCTATCTACTGCCTCGGCAGCATGGCTGCCTCGGCTTTTAAATAATGTATTTGTATTAAAGAAAACTTTACTATATTTTATGTACTAGAACCACTGCCTCGGCTTCTAAGTAATGCATTTGTATTAAAGCAAACTTTAAATTATTTTAAGTATTAGAGTCACAGCCTCGGCAGCACAGCTGCCTCGGATGCTAAATAATATGTTATTATTGAAAACCTAACTACTGCCTCGGCAGCATGGCTACCTCGGCTTCTAAGTAATACATTTGTATCAAAAGAAGTTTTAAGTTGTCAGCATTATATATAGGTGTCCCGTATCTTCCGCATCATATATAAACTCAATATTCTGTTTAATGAATTAGAAAAACTTTTTTATCGCCTAATCAACACAAATTTCTCTCTAATCCAATGATTTATGTACATACAAGATTGAATAAAAATGTTGATCAATTCGTTTATTTAATTTGCAATGCGTGTTCAGTGAAGCGTTGACACCTGAGCATTTTAGAACGCGCTACGAAACTAATAACAGCGGCGACTAGTATATCTATAGCGCAGAGTTGCACATCCAAGGCTAAAGTGGACGAGGCACCGGTGTCCGATGTGTGTAGGTGTCACTTGCATTAGATTTTCTCTTTAACTCTCGACAACTCTCGTTAATGGCATAGACGAGTGAAGGAACTAAATAGAATAGGTAGAGGAGGAGGGGAAAGAGTCCGGTATAAAGTGAACGGAGTTTACCCGGACGTAGAAGTGAAATTAACAACAAAAAAAAATAAATTTATTTTTAGTTTATTTCTTTTTTAGTCGAAATGAGCGAATAACATACACACACCGGATGGTCTTAGTGCATAAACGCACAGAGACACATTTTATTTCTGTAACCTTTAACGACCACGTATATTTAGATCGAACGCTTTCGGCCCGCTTGCATTCCGGCGCGTTCCAAGTTCTACAACCTCGAAACCGAAGAGCAAACACGCGAGGAAACACGATAAACCTAATCTATTTCTTATTTATTTCTAATATTTTCTTATCCCCTCCTATTTCAACATTTCGTTAACTTTACACAAATTAGCTAATGAAGTAAATAAAGGTTCGACCCATTACGATTTCAACGAAAACATTGTTTTTTAAACGAAATTGTGTAAATGAGTAATTTGTTGAGGCGAGTTAATAAAACGAATTATAATATAATAAGACACTGTGTGCGTTATCGTAAATTTTAGTTACATAACTTTTTTTTTCCAACGCGGCGGCTTCATGCTTATTCCATTCATATTTAATACGCTTATAATACGTGTGTGTGTGCTCGTTAAAATGGTCATGCGCCGATAATAACTCGTAATCGTCTACTTATAAACAGCAAAACAAAACGCGTAGCGTAATCGTAAGGGTATTAAAAATATATGGTGTATTTTGTTATCGATAAATGCGTATTATTGTATATCAAAAAAAAATTGTATAAATTAGAGTAAATTAGATTAATACGATGTTTAAAATGATATGAGGAACACAAAAAGTACACACAATTCAAATTTGGCAGAAAGAAAAAAAATTACACGATTACTAAGTCATTATTTATTAGTTAATAAATTCGCAATTTTAAATTTTTTCGATTTTTTTGGTCCTAAGATGTTCAGCATGACCTAGGGAACACGATGAGCACGCACAATTCAAATTTGGTAGTTGCAAAAAAAATTACACGATTGTTAAAAGTCGCTCCTTTAGCTCTAAATTTGAAATTTTAATTTTTGAAAAAATTTTTTTTCTAGACTACGTAAAATATCCTTGGGAACACGACTAATACACACATTTTTCAATTTTGGCAATGACAAAGTACTTATTTCATTAACTAATAAATTCGGAATTTTAAATTTTTTCGATTTTTTTGTTCCAAAGATGTTCAGCATGACCTAGGGAACACGATGAGCACGCACAATTCAAATTTGGTAGTTGCAAAAAAAATTACACGATTATTAAAAGTCGTTTCTTCAGCTATAAATTAGAAATTTTAGTTTTTGAAAATTTTTTTTCTGCAACACTGTCTAAAATATCCTTGGGAACACGACTAATACACACATTTTTCAATTTTGGCAATGACAAAGCACTTACTTCCTTAACTAATAAATTCGCAATTTTAATTTTTTAATTTTTTTTTGTTCCTAAGATGTTCAACATGACCTAGGGAACACGATAAGCACACACAATTCAAATTTGGTAGTTGCAAAAAAAATTACACGATTGCTAAAAGTCGTTCCTTTAGCTATAAATTTGAAATTTTAATTTTTGAAATTTTTTTTTTTCTGGACTATGTAAAATATCATTGGGAACACGACTAATACACACATTTTTTCCATCTTATATCAATGATAATAAATATTCAAAATTTTATCATTTATTAATTATTATTTTACAGTGAGAAGATGTTATTGCCAAGGTCACTGCCCGGATAACCAAACGAATGGGACTTGCGAAATAAAGCAGGGTGGAATGTGTTTTACTGCCGTGGAAATCGAACAAGATGAAACTACAGGGAATTACGAGGCGGAATTTACGTACGGATGTCTTCCCGATGAGGAAGGCGGTCTTATGCAGGTAAATAATCCTATAAGTTATTATCGCTTCCGTATTTTAATACCAAACACGTTTTACTTAACACAGTCTTTTTAGGCGCCATCTAATATTCAATAGACAAATTAAATTTCGATATGTACCAAATATGAACCAATTAACACGATTTGGGTTATAATTAAAAAAATGAAAATTTGATTTATTAATTGCTCGATTTGCATAATTATTATAAATGGATTAACTCCCAACTTGATTTATTAATAGCAAAATTTGCGTAATCGTTTAATACTTAAAGATAATCCGAATAACGTTTTAATAAAGATTCTTTTGTTCCCTCTCCCGTTCTGGAGTCATTAAATGGGAGAAAATAGAAGCAAAAACAGCCATTATAAAGTAATTTTAAACATTCTATCCACAAAATACAAACGTTTACGTGAAATCTTTATAAACACAAGCTCGGCTTTTCTAAACAGAACGGGAGTAACTAACCTGGATCTCTCTTTTGTGTGTTGCTGTATTCCAATAAAATCTAATTCAAATCAAATTTTAAATCTTCTATAATCTTTTTGATTTTGTTCCAAAAAGTATTGTATTTTTTCTGGCATAAAGATTATTTCTTACCATATTCGATTTTATTGTAATTAAGCGATTTTACGTGTTTCACCGCATTGAATCATCTTCAGGGAACTAAAATAAAATGTTTAAAACACGATGAATACACACAATTCGAATTTGGCAGTAGCAAAAAAAATTACACGGTTACAAAAAGTTATTTCTTTAGCACTAAATTTGAAATTATTATTTTTGAAAATTTTTTGCTTCTAGAATACGTAAAATATCCTTGGGAACACGACTAATACACACATTTTTCAATTTTGGCAATGACAAAGTACTTATTTCCTTAACTAATAAATTCACAATATAGTTATATCATAGTTATCTATCACCGGTTTCTAGTGATGTAGAATAAATCATAAAATATCAAGATTGGACGATTTTTTTTAATAAATTCAACTATGACGGAAGTACTAAAACTGATGGAGAAAAACGTTATGGATAAAAAATGTTCCTAATGCATCAAGAAATCATAATCCATAATGATATCATAGTTATCTATCACCGGTTTCTAGTGATGTAGCATAAATCATAAAATATCAAGATTGGACGATTTTTCTTAATAAATTCAACNTTTAAACATTCTATCCACAAAATACAAACGTTTACGTGAAATCTTTATAAACACAAGCTCGGCTTTTCTAAACAGAACGGGAGTAACTAACCTGGATCTCTCTTTTGTGTGTTGCTGTATTCCAATAAAATCTAATTCAAATCAAATTTTAAATCTTCTATAATCTTTTTGATTTTGTTCCAAAAAGTATTGTATTTTTTCTGGCATAAAGATTATTTCTTACCATATTTGATTTTACTGTAATTAAGCGATTTTACGTGTTTCAACGCATTGAATCATCTTCAGGGAACTAAAATAAAATGTTTAAAACACGATGAATACACACAATTCGAATGACGGAAGTACTAAAACTGATGGAGAAAAACGTTATGGATAAAAAATGTTACTAATGCATCAAGAAATCATAATCCATAATTATATAATATTTATCTATCACCGGTTTCTAGTGATGTAGCATAAATCATGAAATATCAAGATTGAACGATTTTTTTTAATAAATTCAACTCTGACAAAAGTACTAAAACTGATGGAGAAAAACGTTATGGATAAAAAATGTTCCTAATGCATCAAGAAATCATAATCCATAATTATATCATAGTTATCTATCACCGGTTTCTAGTGATGTAGCATAAATCATAAAATATCAAGATTGGACGATTTTTCTTAATAAATTCAACTATGACGGAAGTACTAAAACTGATGGAGAAAAACGTTATGGATAAAAAATGTTCCTAATGCATCAAGAAATCATAATCCATAATTATATCATAGTTATTTATCACCGGTTTGTAGTGATGTGGCATAAATCATAAAATATCAAGATTGGACGATTTTTCTTAATAAATTCAACTATGACGGAAGTACGAAAACTGATGGAGAAAAACGTTGTGGATAAAAAATGTTCCTAATGCATCAAGAAATCATAATCTATACTTGTTTCATAGGTATCTACCACCGGTTTTTAGTGTTGTAGCATAAATCATAAAATATCAAGATTGGACGATTTTTCTTAATAAATTCAACTATGACGGAAGTACTAAAACTGATGAAGAAAAACGTTGTGGATAAAAAATGTTTAATCCATAATTATATCATAGTTATCTATCACCGGTTTCTAGTGATGTAGCATAAATTATAAAATATTAAGATTCGACGATTTTTTTAATAAATTCAACTATGACGGAAGTACTAAAACTGATGGAGAAAAACGTTATGGATAAAAAATGTTCCTAATGCATCAAGAAATCAAAATCTATCGGATTAATACACAAATTAGTTCTAGTTTTATTTCAATAAAAATGTACAACAATCTAGCACTGAATAACAAGTAAAACAAGAATTAACCCAAAACTTTCCGGTGAAGTGTTAATTCTAAGAAGTTCAAACTGACCTAAGGAACACGATGAGTGCACACAATTCAAATTTGGCAGTAGCAAAAAAAATTACACGGTTGCAAAAAGTTACTTCTTTAGCTCTAAATTTGAAATTTTAATATAAAAAAATTTTTTTTTCTAAACTATGTAAAATATCCTTGGGAACACGACTAATACACACATTTCAATGAAATATTCAACGAAAGTTTTTAATTCCGTATTTTAATTGCTTTTTTTTTGTTACAGTGTAAAGGTTCTTTAGTACCTCACCGTCAAATGAAAGTAATCGAATGCTGTAACGGATCCGATAATTGCAACAAAGATTTAATCCCAAAATACGAATTACCAAGCACGACGCAAGAACCCAGTTTTTTCAACACCCCCGAAAGTATACCGTTAATGGTACTTTTCACCTCGATAACCGCCTGTATAATATTCCTTTTGGCCGTAATAGCCTGTTTATACATCCATTTCCGACGGAAGGAATTAAAAAGAGGCAGCCCTTATTATTTGAAAAAATCCCCCGATCAATACCCCATTGATATCCACGTAAACGACACTTTCGCTAACATTTTGGATCCATCCAGCGGTTCCGGTTCGGGTCTTCCCATGCTCGTGCAACGAACGATATCGAAACAAATCCATTTGGTACATACGATCGGAAGAGGGAGGTATGGTGAAGTTTGGTTGGCGAGGTGGAGGGACCAAAAAGTCGCCGTTAAAGTGTTTTTTACAACTGAAGAACACTCTTGGTTTCGAGAAACCGAAATTTATCAAACGGTTTTGATGCGACACGAAAATATTTTAGGATTTATAGCTGCCGATATAAAAGGAACCGGTTCTTGGACGCAAATGTGGTTAATCACGGATTATCACGAATACGGCTCGTTATATGATTATTTACAAAATCATGTTTTGGATACGAATTCTTTATTGATAATGGCTCAAACCGTCGTTTCCGGTTTAACTCACCTTCACACTGAGATTTTCAGTACTCGAGGTAAACCGGCGATAGCGCATCGAGATATTAAATCGAAAAATATTCTCGTTAAGAAAAACGGGGAGTGCGTTATAGCCGATTTTGGATTGGCTGTAAAATATTGTAGCGATACGAATTTAATCGATGTGCCGGTTAAGAATGAACGAAGTGGTACAAAGAGGTACATGGCGCCGGAAATACTCGACGGTACAATTAATCCTGCGAATTTCGATGCCCATAAAATGGCGGATATTTACTCTTTGGGCTTGGTCCTTTGGGAAATGCTAAAAAGAACCGCAACCGGTGATAAATTATCGTCGGCGGAAGATTATTGTCTTCCTTATTACGACTGCGTGCCGAACGATCCCAGTTTTGAAGAGATGCAACAAGTGGTGTGCGTGAAAAAAGTTCGACCGGAAATATCGACGCGATGGTCAAAAGACGATGTATTATCATCGGTTTCGCGCGTGATGCAAGAGTGTTGGCACGCGAATCCCCTCGTAAGGCTGACGGCGTTACGTGTTAAAAAGACTTTGGCCAAACTTGAAGTGGATCCAAATGTAAAAATTGTTTAAAAAACACTTTAATTTTATTATTATTAATTTTTTTTGTTGTTATTGTCTTCCTCTTTTTTTTTAAAGAAGTTATATATTGTTAAGGAGTTGTAGTTCGGACAGAAAAAAAGAGTGGGGGGGAAATTATAGTTTTTTTCCCCCCGTTGTGTTGTATATATTAGAGCTATTAAGGACTATTAATTAATGTTATTTAAATCAAAAGATAAAATTTGAGCCCAGAAATAAATAATAAAATAAGTTTTTTTTTGTAAATAGGACGACTGTCAGCTATAACTTCCATCTTAACTTTTAACTCAAAAATAAAAAAAATAGAATATCATTAAGTGCCATTTTCTGTTTACTTTTTAATTTATTCAATAACTTGCTCAAATAAACGAGATTTATTTATTTTTATCTTGACAGTCGAAGAAATGATGGTAAATTTTTTATGAAGGAACCTACATAGGCCGTGCGACTACAAACATGTGCATTTACAAATTGTAAATATTATAAATAATGAGGATAAAATGAATGTGTAAAACGTATAACGTAGCCGTTTTAATAAATTTACGAAAAATATTAACAAAATTAAATGATGTAAAACACGTTGAAAGACTGACTTATGAATGTATCGTTTCGTTCTTATTTTTATTGTGTACAGAAGGAATGTAATGTGTATAAATCAATATAGTTTATGATAGAGATATTATTTAGTTGCTTTTTTTTCTAACTTCTATAATAAATATAAATATTAAATAAATTTAATTTTCAAAAAATCAGCGACATCTATTACTCAATAGCTTAAGTTTTCGCTTTAAACATGGTTCTCAACTTGACTAATCGCATTAGTTCACCTAATGAATAAAAGATGTCGCTTGACGTCATTTAAAAATTATTTTGAGATGGTTTGCTTCTCGGCTAAGTAAAAAATTATACCGGGTGATTCAAATAAAAAGAAAATTTTGCGAGAAAATCTCGTTTTAATTCACTTTATTTGGATCACCCGGTATAATTTCTTACTTAGCCGAGTTTCGAACCTTTAAAAATTCGTTTTTAACTTGACTAGTTTCACTAATGAAACGGAGATGGCGCTAGTGGTCATTTAAAAAATTATTTTGAGATGGTTTGCTTCTCCGCTAAGCAAAAAATTATACCGGGTGATCCAAATATAGAGAAATTTTTGCGAGAAAAACGCGATTTAATAAATTTTATTTGGATCACCCGGTATAATTTTTTACTTAGCCGAGTTTCGAACCTTCAAAAAATTCGTTGGTAACTTGACTAGTTTCACCAATGAAAAAAAGATGGCGCTAGTGGTCATTTAAAAATTATTTTCAGATGGTTTGCTTCTCCGCTAAGGAAAAAATTATACCGGGTGATCCAAATATAGAGAAATTTTTGCGAGAAAAACGCGATTTAATAAATTTTATTTGGATCACCCGGTATAATTTTTTACTTAGCCGAGTTTAGAACCTTCAAAAAATTCGTTCGTAACTTGACTAGTTCCACTAATGAATAAAAGATGTCGCTAGAGGTCATTTAAAAAATTATTTTACTATGGTTTGCTTCTCGGCTAAGTAAAAAATTATACCGGGTGATTCAAATAAAAAGAAAATTTTGCGAGAAAATCCTGTTTTAATTCATTTTATTTGGATCACTCGGTATAATTTTTTACTTAGCCGAGTTTCAAACCTTTAAAAATTCGTTGGTAACTTAACGAGTTTCACTAATGAAAAAAAGATGGCGCTAGTGGTCATTTAAAAATTATTTTGAGATGGTTTGCTTCTCCGCTAAGCAAAAAATTATACCGGGTGATCCAAATATAGAGAAATTTTTACGAGAAAAACGCGATTTAATAAAAATTATTGGCATCACCGGGTATAATTTTTTGTTTAGCCGAGTTTCGAACACTCAAAAAAAAATGTTGGTAACTAGATTAGTTCCACTAATGAATAAAAGATGTCGCTAGAGGTCATTTAAAAAATTATTTTACTATGGTTTGCTTCTCGGCTAAGTAAAAAATTATACCGGGTGATTCAAATAAAAAGAAAATTTTGCGAGAAAATCCCGTTTTAATTCATTTTATTTGGATCACCCGGTATAATTTTTTACTTAGCCGAGTTTCGAACCTTTAAAAATTCGTTGGTAACTTGACTAGTTTCACTAATAAAAAAAAGATGGCGCTAGTGGTCATTTAAAAATTATTTTCAGATGGTTTGCTTCTCCGCTAAGCAAAAAATTATACCGGGTGATCCAAATATAGAGAAATTTTTGCGAGAAAAACGCGATTAAATAAATTTTATTTGGATCACCCGGTATAATTTTTTATTTAGCCGAGTTTCGAACCTTCAAAAAATTCGTTGGTAACTTGACTAGTTCCACGAATAAATAAAAGATGTCGCCTATCGTCATTTAAAAATTATTAACCCGTAAAGAATTGGTTCGCAACCTAACTATCAATGTTTTCGTTGTTAAATAACAGATGTCGCTTATGATTTTTCAAAATTTGATATAACAACAAGAGCAATTTTCATCGTTTATTTGAGATCAATTAAATACAATACAATAATTAAAATGTACATCAATCAGACAGAGTGCTGCATTCCCAATACCAATACTCTTCTATTTAGTGTCCTCGTTCAACTCCCTACCTCTCATCACCTATTTTATGCCTTTACATCATGATCTTTGAGGTTGCCCCCTTTTATTTTTTCCAGGAGATACACAGAAGTGATACGAAACCGTTATTAAGTATTAAAAGTCATCAATTTAAGGATTAGTGGTCGATTCAACCAGAAAGCTCATCGAACCTACAAAAACATAAAAAATTAATAAAAACTCGGATTTTTTTAATAAACTTACCCCATATTGCTTGAAAGACATTTTAAACGAAATTTTATCCATCTATATCCATGAATTTCGTGGAAAAACTGCAAAAACGACGTGAATGAGAGGACGTTTATAAATGGCTTGTTTGGGGGCAATTGTTTTGAGGTTATGTTTTAAAATTAATTAATCAAATTTAATTAAATGAATTAAAAGTTAACTAAAATCAAAGTAATTACTTACAATTAAACAAGTTTTTCTCTTTCGTATCAATATTAACAACTAATTCGAAATGGTTTGTAACAAATTTAGTGTATTTTTCGAACATTCATTTTAAGTTGGTATTAGATTTATTTTCTCATTTTTGCGAAGAATTTTTTAATTTAATATTTATATTTCTTAACATATAGAATCATCTTAATTAATAAATAAATTTATAAATTTGTATTTATTAATTTAATACAGATAAAGATAAAAAGTATCGCTATTTCTCTCTCTTAAATAAAAATCGAACTGTCACATTCCAGCACATTGCGATTTCAACATAACCTAAAAATGTTCAAATTAAAAACATATTTTAATTAATAATTAATTTACGATGAATAAAAATAAACAGGAAACAAAGAAAAGAAAACGTTCGAATTCGGTGGAGATTAAAACCGAGGGAAATGTAAGCTTCAATCCAAAAGTTGAGGAATTTTCGCTGGAAAACTCTATAATCGAGATAGATACATCTCTATACCGCAATAAAAACGAAATTAAAAGTATTAAAGATGTAACTAATGATAAATTATGCGACGCTATTAATCGAACGAATAACGAAATGGAACAAATTTTTAGAGATAACCAGGTAAAAAATTAATTTTGAGGTTATGTTGTTATTAATTTTTTATTTTAAGCATTTAATGGATTTAAGAATTAAAATACCGTTTAAAGTCCCAAAAGCACATCTAATTGAGAAATCAGTGGTTGCAATACAATCGAAAGGTTTATTTGATGGAATTCCCATAAATACAAAAAAATACACAAAACGTGAAGATGATTTAATTTTAAGAAACTTTAAAGAGTTTTGTGAAGCTCACAAAATCAAACATGATCCAACCCCGTTTGTAAATTTTGTTATTGGTGGGAGACATGTGTTAAGCGTTTATGAACGATTACAATTTGTGCGTTATATTGGAAAGGGGTTAAACGATAGGAAATTATATAGTATTTATAAACGATTTCAGTTATTATGTAGTACAACTAATAAAGGAAGGTTAATATTACCCCATTAACTATGATTATTTAAGATTAACACTTTTATTTTAGATTCTCTTCAATTGAAGATCAAATTTTATTAACTTACATCAATAATAACAATGATGATAAACAAAAATTTGCTAAAATAGCCAAAATTTTAAATCGATCCAAGAGTCAAATTTTAAAAAGATATTCGACCATTACAGAATCGATTGAAAATGGTGAAATTAAAATATTATTTCAATTAAAAACTTAAAAATCAAATTTTAGATTTTGCCAAAATGACTGGTATACCAAAAATAGAATATTTAGTTTCAAAAATGATGGAGGTTTTAAATATTTCGACGATTAAAGAACTTAAAAGTACCGAACTGACGAGTGAATTTTGGGAGGAAATAAGTAAACAATTAGATTATCCCTTATATCAATTAAAAAGGTTTTGGAATGCGAGCGTTGCCACGAAGCTTTTTAACCAAAATATCAAAATTAACAAAGTTTTGAGGAAAATTGTTGATACTTTGCATGAAAAAAACATTACCGATTGGAAAAGTATCGATTGGAACGAAATTTGTAAACCTTTCGAACGCAAATATTACACACCTTCCTTTATTTATGATAAATTTAAGGATTTAAGAAGGTGTAACATCCGCAAAGAATATCAACAAGATCCACAGGGTAAAATATAACCATGAATTTAATAAAATCTTAACTTTGTGTGTTTTTTTTAGTGTGTATAAAAATGTTGAAGGATTTATTTAGTGAAAATCCGCTTTTATTGAGGAAAATAAAATCGTATGAATATGAAGATGGAAGAATTGCAAAATATTAAGTTATGTTAAATTAATTTAATGTTATTTTGTATTAGAAAATATAATGTAATTGGGTTAAGTTGTTTACTTTTGCGTTTTACTTCCTTTTATGCACAAATAATTACTTAAACAAATTAATTACAAATTTGTCTCAACATTTTCAAAGTCAATTTTTAAAAAATCATTTCCGGTCTGTTTTTGGAGTTAAGAAACGGGATGTGTCTTAAATTAAAGCTTGAAATATCCTCTTTAAAATGATGTATGATAACCTATATGGTTAATATGAAAATTTTGGAGAAAAAAGATCGTTTTTAAGTTGTAAAAATAGGTTATGTTATTATTATGATCATGTTTAAATAATCACTTCCGGTGTAATTCTCTTAGCTAAGAAATGTATTATATATCAAATTAAAGCTGAAAGTGTCCTCTTTAAAATGATATATAACTTCTTTAAACAGATTACAGGGTCTTGGAGAAAATAAACAAACAAAAATTGTAGAATCAAATTAGATTTGTTTCAACATTTTCAATGAAAGCTAATTTTCAAAAAATCATTTCCGGTGTGTTTTTGGGAGTTAAGAAACGGGATGTGTCTTAAATTAAAGCTTGAAATGTCTTCTTTAAAATGATGTATGATAATCTATATATATGGTTAATATAAAAATTTTGGAGAAAAAAGATCTTTTTTAAGTTGTAAAAATAGGTTATGATGGAGACTATTTTAAATTGATGTCAATGTTTAAATGATCACTTCCGGTGTAACTCTCTTAGTTAAGAAATATGTTATATGTTAAATTAATGCTAAAACGCCCTCTTTAAAATGATATATGACTCGGTATAGTTCAAGAATCATATCGCTTAAAAATCGACATTTTTTTTAATCGACGATAAATCACTCACGTAAAACGTTTCAAATAAAAAAAAAGTGCGGAAAAGTGTAAAACTTACCGACAAATCACTTTAAAGTCATTGAAGGAAAAGTATAATATAATATACAGGCGTCCCCAAACACACAGCTAAACCCGATACTTTCTAATTCTAGTGTTAGTTCTAGTTTTAGTGCAATAAAAATATACAACATAGTGATATCTAGCAACATCATATTTGGACTCATTTTAATGTTTTTTTTAATAAAGAATACATCATAAAAGAACACCATGATAACTAACGTCTATTATATGATAACTAACTTCAGATTTAAAATGTCAACCTCAATTTTGACATATTTGTAATCTTCATTAAAAATCCTTTAAAATGAGTACAAACACGACATATTTATTTTCAATATTAATGAAGTTATGGTGAATTTCCGGTTAGAAATGTCAACGTCAATTTTGACACATTTGTAATTGTCGTGAAAAATCCTTTAAAATGAGCCCAAACATGATACGTTTAATTCCAATATTACTTGAGATATAAGCAACTTCCGGTTTGAAATGTTAACGTTATTTTGACAAATTCTTAATTTTTATAAAATGTCTTAATATTTGTCACAAAAAGAAAAAAAAATTAAGGTTGGTATTAATATTTAATAATTAAATTGCTATCTTCATTGTTGCTAATTTCGGGTTTAACGTTTTTTATTCTAACTTCGTTGTTTTTTGAGATAAGTACGTCATCTTTAGACTCATTTTAAAGGTTTTTTAATGAAGATGACAAATATGTCAAAATTAACGTTGACGTTTCAAACCGGAAGTGATTGTATTATTACATTAATATTAAAGTTAAATATGTCAAGTTTGGACTCATTTTAAAGGATTTTTTATGAAGTTGACAAATATGTCAAAATTAAAAGTTGAAAGTTCAAACTTTTTGTTTTTTGAGATAAATGCGTCAAGTTTGGACTCACTTTAAAGCTTATTTTATGAAGATTACGAATATAATAATAATCGGATTTAGTTCCACGTCTCTCAAGACGGCTAAACCCGAATGATTCTAGTTCTAGGTCTTCTAACGCAAGACTTCTAGTGATAGTGCTAGTGTAAAGCTAGAAATATTCGGGAAAAAGCCGTGCGTCTTCAAACTTTTCAAAGTTCTTGTCTAAGACGCCCGGAAAAACCTAGAAGTTTTTAGTTCTAGTTTTAATTGTCATTTAACCCTAAATTCTTGTACATTTTAATTGATCTAAAAAAAATTTTTTTTTGATTTAATCCACTTACCTTGCTTATAATTTCATCCATTTACCCATTTTGAATTAAATACAACCTTTAAATCCAATTAATTATGTGTTTTTCATTAAAAAAAAACTTAAAATCAATGTCAATTTTGTCAAGCAACTGCAATATTTGGATCTTAATCACCATGGTAACCGAGTCAAGTTGGATAACCTTAAAATAATAAAATTTTATTCCGATTTTTTTATCAATTCTAACCTAATTTTTATTAATTTTAAAACACTTCGAATTCTTTACGATTATGTCGCATTCACAATAAATTCGTTAATTGTAATTAATTTAAATCGATTCTAATTAAGAGAAATAAATTAAAAATATCTTTTTTTTTGATTTAATTCACTTACCTTGTTTATAATTCCCTAGATAAACCGATTTTGAGTTAAATAGAACCTTTTAAACGAATTAAATTAGACTTTTTCCTTAAAAGAACTTAAGTTCAATTTCAATTTTGACAAGCACCTGCAATATTTGGATCTTAATCACCATGGTAACCGAGTCAAGTTGGATAACCTAAAAATAATAAAATTTTAAGTTATTTTAAAATAATTTATTGATTTATTTTAGAATTTTGTGTAGAAATTCCACTTTGAGTTAAAGAAATGATATAACACATGATATTAGATTATAACTTCTTAAATTTGAGTAGTTATGCATAAAATCATGAAGAACATTAAATAAACATGGAACAAATTGGCTTATAACAATCAAATAAAGTTATGGAACTTGTTTATTTGAGATAAAAGAGTTATAGGAGCTTAGAATATAAAAGAAATAAAACTATATTTTTCTTATAATAATAAATTTATTACAAACGTCAATTTTTATGCATTTACTTCTTAGATTTAGTCGCCTGTTGTGCTTTTAGCACCTTGACTACAATTTTCTGTTCTTCTAATAAGAAAGCACGCACAATCTTTTCTTTAACGCACTTATGACATAAAACACCACCGTAAGCCCTTTTGACGGTCTTCTTACGACGGCACATCCTCGAGCGTTCTTGGGGCCTCGCTGGTACGATACCCCTCAATTTATCGGAACATTGACCACATTTTGGTACCTTCTTCTTCTTCTCTAAGTATTGATAAACCAATTTACCACCAGGGGTACGAACACTAAAACAAAAACGAATTAGTATAGCAAAAATTTTTTTTAATACTTATAATTAATCAATAAAACATAATCAGATATAAAAAACGAACGATATAACAGCATTTCGTCACGAGTTATTCAGGACTCTAGCCAAGAATCATCATTAATATTTTGACAACGTGTTTTGAAAGACATAACCTCAAAAAAAGTGAGGTTAAGTATGTTGCATTTTAATATTTTTTAAATGAATTTAAGATAACGAAATAAAATGAATTTAAACTTACATGCGTCGTTTATTAGAATTTGTATTATAAGACAATCGTCGCCGGAAAACAAGCCGTTGAACCATTTCGATCTGAAAAATCAACAAAAACTTACTCTCAATATTTCACTTAAACATTAAAAAACGAATTAAAACAACGCTGATTGAATAACAATTATTAATAAACGCGATGTTTTAGGATAAATCGGCAATAAATTTATTTTCACAAGCGACGTACCTTGTGAAACGCACCGGAAGAGAAAGGAAATTCTAACTTATCGACTCGGCTAACTTCGCGCCGAAGTAACCGCCATCTATCGGAGATTAAAATAGGGTGGGGATGAGTCAAGACTCGAGTGATTCGTCGAAAGAACCAAATTAGTTTTTTTTTCTTTGCTTTTTTTTTGAGACAAAATCAAAACAAAAAGGTGAAATAGAAATTTTTTAAATGGGGTCACTTTTTGAGAATTACGAACAGCAATATTCGGCCCTTACGGCCGATATTACTGCTCAAGTGGGACAGTTAACCTCAAGCGTAACGAGTAAGTAAATATTTCGATTTTCAGTTGGTATTTATTATTAATTTTTTTGTTTCTTTATTCTTTTGTTATAGAAGATAGACGCCAGTTGATCTCAAACATAGAAAAACATGTTGAAGAAGCTCAAGAACTGGTAAAATCTTAATTTGCACCTTAATCTAATTTTAATCATTATCTTTTATTTGTTCTTTACGATAAAAAAAATGTATTTTTCCCTCTACAGCTTGAACAAATGGATTTGGAAGTTCGAGAAGTTCCAGAACACGCAAAAAGACAAAGATGCAAAACAAAACTTGATTGCTATCGAGCTGAGTTAAAAAGACTCACCTTAGATTATATAAAAGCTAGATCGGTGCGGCAAAGTACGTTTGGTTATGATTCAACTGAGGATTTAAGCGATCGGATTTGTAACGATCAAAAACAACGACTTTTGGATAATTCGGAACGTTTAGAAAGGACCGGAAAAAATCTTGAGGAAGGGTATCGAGTCGTTATTGAAACGCAGAATATTGGAGCTGAGGTTTTAGCCAATTTAAGTGAACAACGCGAAACTATACAAAGATCGAGAGCAAGGGTACGTAATTTTAATTAAATTAAACTCTAAAAAAATTAAAATAATTCAAAAATCATCATGTCGCTTAAAAATCGTTAATTTTTTTTTTAATCGACGGGAAGTCACTTAAATAAGTCATTACATATATAAAAAATGTGTGTAAAAGTGTAAACTTGCCGAAAAATCACTTTAAAGCTTCGACGTGACGTCATTTTTTGTGACGTCATCGACCGTACTACTCATATACAGGGTGGTTCAGTTTTTAATGGGATATTTTACTAGGATGCCAAAAGAATCCTGCTTAATCACTGTTAATGTAAACACCTTCATTTTAAATCAACTTTAAGGTATATACACAATGTACAGTTGGTTGTCTATATTAAAACAAATCCAATACAAATCCCCTTCTTAATTAATTTGTCTCAAATTATGGTATACAAAACTTTGGAAACTGCTTTATTGTGTTTGTAAAATTAGTAATTCAATTTGTAACTTAATTTAAGCATACATTAATGAAAATTTTACACATTTAAACACAATTCAGCTGGTTCAATGTAAACGCCCTTCATGGCGAAGCTTTTCTTTATTCATGAATTTTCATATTTTTTTTGATATCTATGCGTCTGAGAGCAATTTTGTTAAGAATACAATTTGCTACAACTTTCGTCGAAAAGTTTTTCTGTAGCATGCTTAGGCGATTTTGATATTTTGAGAATTCCTGGCTTGAACCTAAGAAATGGTGATATCTATGGTGGTATTGACTATGGATTATTTTATCTTGATTCATTATAATTCATTTTTATAGGAAATGTTTTTCTCTATCACCTTTAATTTTCTAATTATAACAGAATTTAACGCAGATGATTGTCAATTTTGAGAATTCCTGGCTTGAACCTAAGAAATGATATCTATGGTGGCATTGACTATGGATTATGTTATCTTGATTCATTATCATTCATTTTTATAGGAAACGTTTTTTCTATCACCTTTAGTTTTCTACTTATAACAGAATTTAACGCAGATGATTGTCAATTTTGATATTTTGAGAATTCCTGGCTTGAACCTAAGAAATGGTGATGTCTATTGTGGCATTGACTATAGATTATGTTATCTTGATTCATTATTATTAATTTTTATGGGAAACGTTTTTCTCTATCACCTTTAATTTTCTAATTATAACAGAATTTAACGCAGATGATTGTCAATTTTGAGAATTCCTGGCTTGAACCTAAGAAATGGTGATATCTATGGTGGCATTGACTATGGATTATGTTATCTTGATTCATTATCATTAATTTTTATGGGAAACGTTTTTCTCTATCACCTTTAATTTTCTACTTATAACAGAATTTAACGCAGATGATTGTCAATTTTGATATTTTGAGAATTCCTGGCTTGAACCTAAGAAATGGTGATATCTATGGTGGCATTGACTATGGATTATGTTATCTTGATTCATTATCATTAATTTTTATGGGAAACGTTTTTCTCTATCACCTTTAATTTTCTACTTATAACAGAATTTAACGCAGATGATTGTCAATTTTGATATTTTGAGAATTCCTGGCTTGAACCTAAGAAATGGTGATATCTATGGTGGCATTGACTATGGATTATGTTATCTTGATTCATTATCATTAATTTTTATGGGAAACGTTTTTCTCTATCACCTTTAATTTTCTACTTATAACAGAATTTAACGCAGATGATTGTCAATTTTGATATTTTGAGAATTCCTGGCTTGAACCTAAGAAATGGTGATATCTATGGTGGCATTGACTATGGATTATGTTATCTTGATTCATTATCATTAATTTTTATGGGAAACGTTTTTCTCTATCACCTTTAATTTTCTACTTATAACAGAATTTAACGCAGATGATTGTCAATTTTGATATTTTGGGAATTCCTGGCTTGAACCTAAGAAATGGTGATATCTATGGTGGTATTGACTATGGATTATGTTATCTTGATTCATTATCATTCATTTTTATAGGAAACGTTTTTCTCTATCACCTTTAATTTTTTACTTATAACCGAATTTAACGCAGATGATTGTCAATTTTGATATTTTGAGAATTCCTGGCTTGCACCTAAGAAATGATAATATCTATGGTGGCATTGACTATGGATTATGTTATCTTAATTCATTATCATTAATTTTTATGGGAAACGTTTTTCTCTATCACTTTAAGTTTTGTAATCATAACAGAATTTAATGTAGGTGGTTGTCAATTTTGGATATTGTGCCGTTTAGCCGTGAATTGGAAACGTGGGGTCAAAACTTTCTAGTTCTAGGTCTAGGGTTAGTTCTAGTTTTACACTAGCACTATCACTAGGACTAATACAAGACCTAGAACTAGAATCATTCGGGTTCAGCCGTCTTGAGAGACGTGAGGCTAAATCCGAATGTTTCTAGTTTTCGATCTAGTATTACTTCTAATATTAATACAGAGTCTATTGATACACAGTTTATCTTACGACAGGTAATCAGTCGTTATGCACCGAAAGCTTAAGAAAAACAAGAGTGTTTTATCCGAAAATATACGTTGTAATCTCACCTAGTTTAGTTAGTTAGAAAATAACTTTACTTTTAAGTTTATCAGATTGATTTTGTGCGTGGTTATGGTTGCTATGGCTAGGTGTTGACCGATTTTATAGGAAAAACATTGCTTGTGACGTCACGTCAAAACTTTAATGTAATTTTTCGGTATGTTCTACGCTTCGTCGATTTTTAAGCTACATGATGATTCTTGAATCTTTTTTAAGGTTAAAAATTTAGTTCGACAATACATATCATTTGCAAATATTTTTAGTTGAGGGATACAAACGAGGAATTGGGTCGAGCTTCTCGTATAATGAACTCAATGATTATTCGTGCCATGCAACAAAAGGTTATTTTATTTGTGGTTGTTGTATGTTTTATAATAGCAATAACAGCAGCGATTTATATAAGTGTTTCGTAATATTTAGCGAAAAAGTCTTTTGAAGATTTTATTATAGTGACTTTATTTGATTCTTTATTAGATTTTAAATAATTTGTGCTAAAACATTGAATGAAGTTGCGTTAATTTTAGTTTCAAGTTGAGTCACTACTACAATAAGTATGAAACGCAGATTGATAAGTACAGTTCACAATTTGCATCCGATATTTTTACATAACACTTGCTTTAGTTGACCAATAATAATAATAATAATAATAATAATCGTTTGCGTTAAAGTCGTTAAAACTGTGATATAAAAGAACCGTTCCTTAATTTTCAGCACTTATATTTCATAACTCACACAGTATTTTTGTGTCCACACGCTAATGTGTTTCTAATTAATTAGTTTTTAACTAAATTTAAGAAAAAATAAATATACTTTGTATATAAATAAACCAAATTTATAGAGTTACAAATAAAAGGTAAGTTCAAAGTGGTTTGTAAACGATAGATATTATAAAATTATAAAAAAATATATATAAATCATTTTTTCTCTTTTTGTTGAATAGGTCGTATAGATTTTTTTTGTATTTATTGTAAATGTTGTTGAAGATTATACATTCCGTTTTTATTTGGCGATTTTAATTATAAACGATCTGTCTCTTAAGATCCTCAACATATTTCATCTTGTTACTCTTATCCTGTTCATATCCGAGAATTTTCCACCCACTTCTAATTTTATTCGTTTCACGCGCCTAATTTTTGCTTCTTTAGTATCATACCTTGTTTATATGTTGCTCATATTCTATTTTCCCTATTCTATCCTCCAGGGACTTTACAGTGTTAGCTGATTTTTCTCTTTTTCCCACTTCTGCTTCGCTTTTAGTTCTTGGAGTTCCTGCACTTCGGTTGTGAATACTTTTCTATTCAGTGTCATTCATCTCTCTTCTCCTCTTGGTGTCCTTTAGTACAATTGTTCGATTCTTTCCTCTTCCTTGCATAGCAAATGACCAAATCATCTCAAACCTCTCCTCTTCGAATTCTTCCTTGCACTTCTACGTAAATAATGCACATGTTTGCCAACCCTCTGTTTCTTCTCCTCTTTCATCGTCCAAACCTCACAGCCGTATGTCAATACACTTTTGGCCATAACCTTTCCAGTAAAGTTTCTTGTTATTATGACTTATATGTTTATCAGGTGGAGTTGTAGAAGTAATCATTGGTAAGTTATCTAAATTATTGGGATTTAGCTGGTTCTATTACATGATAACTAACTGCAGGTTTAAAATGTCAACCTCAATTTTGACATATTTGTAATCTTCATTAAAAATCCTTTAAAATGAGTACAAACACGACATATTTATCTTCAATATTAATGAAGTTATGGTCAACTTCCGGTTAAGATTGTCAACGTCAATTTTGACATATTTGTAATCGTCGTGAAAAATCCTTTAAAATGAGTCCAAACATGATACGTTTATACTCCAATACTCCAATTACTCCAATATTACTCGAGAAATAAGCAACTTCCGGTTTGAAATGTCAATGTCATTTTGACATACTCTTAATTTTTATAAAATGTTTAATATTTGTTACAAAAACAATAATATAATTAAAAATAATAAAAAATTAAGGTTGGTATTAATATTTAAAAATTAAATTGCTATCTTCATTGTTGCTAACTTCGGGTTTAATGTTTTTTATTCAAACTTTTTTGTTTTTTTGAGATAAGTGCGTCATCTTTGGACTCATTTTAAAGGTTTTTTAACGAAGATAACAAATATGTAAAAATTGACGTTGACGTTTCAAACCGGAAGTGATTGTATTTCCATTAATATTAAAGTTAAATATGTCGAGTTTGGACTCATTTTAAGGGTTATTTTATGAAGATCACGAATATAATAATAAAATTAAAGTTAACATTGACAACTGAAAGTTTTTTTCACGACTAAACCTGAATGTTTCTTCTCCTCTTTAGTTCTTCTCTAGAATTGTGGAAGTAGTTACTAAATTAAGGTTAGTAATCATTGGTAAGTTATCTAAATTATTGGGATTTAGCTGGAAAATCATTCAAATTATTGAAAACTTGTTTAAATAATGACAAACTAGTTCATGGCCACTTCACAAGTTGTTTTGAATCATTGGAAAATCCTCCAAATAATTGAAAACCAGTTCAAACCTTTGCCAACTGGTTTGCAGCTATTCCAAGTTGTTAAAAAAGAGTGATGCATGTAAAGTTGTTCAAAACAGGTCTACAACATTGCAAAATTGTTCAAAATCATTGATAGTTAAGGTTGGTAATTATTGAAAACTTGAAATGATTAAAAAATGTTGTCCAAATGATTGAGATCTAATTTATAGCTATTCTAAGTAATTCAAAATGATTGAAAAACTAGTTGGTAATCACCAAAAACATGTCTAAATGTTTAAAAATATTTTCGTATTTTTTTGAAATCGTTCATTATGCTTGAACTGGTATTAAAATTATTCAAAACAGGTCTATAGCACTGTAAACGTATAAATATATACCAAATTAAATGAAAACTAATTGGTAATCAATGGAAACTTGTCTAAATAATGGAAAACTGTGTCATAGCTATTCCAGATTATTCAAAGTGATCGGTAACCTTGTCTAAATGATTAAGAACTGGTTCATAACTAGTCCAGGTTGATGAAAGTGGTCGAAAACTGCATCCAAAGTTGTCCCAAACGTGTTTATAGCTTTGCAAAATGCTTCATAATGTTGAGAATTGGGTGGTAATAATTCAAATTGAAAATGGCTGAAAACTGATTAATAGGTACATATTTCAAGTGGTTCAGAATGATTAAAAACTGTAATTGAAATTATTCAAAACAAATTTGCGGAGAATAACTTTTTTTTATCTAATTCAAATGCAGTTATAAAACTTCTATTACATGATAACTAACTTCAGGTTTAAAATGTCAACCTCAATTTTGACATATTTGTAATCTTTGTTAAAAATCCTTTAAAATGAGTACAAACACGACATATTTATCTTCAATATTAATGAAGGTATGGTCAACTTCCGGTTAAGAATGTCAACGTCAATTTTGACATATTTGTAATCGGAGTGAAAAATCCTTTAAAATGCGTCCAAACATGAGACATTTAATTCCAGTATTACTCGAGATATAAGAACTTCCGGTTTGAAATTTCAATGTCATTTTGACATATTCTTAATTTTTATAAAATGTTTAATATTTGTTACAAAAACAAAAATATAATAAAAAAAAAATAAAAAATTAAGGTTGGTATTAATATTTAAAAATTAAATTGTTGCTAACTTCGGGTTTAATGTTTTTTATTCTAACTTTTTTGTTTTTTGAGATAAGTGCGTCATCTTTGGACTCATTTTAAAGGTTTTTTAACGAAGACGACAAATATGTAAAAATTGACGTTGACGTTTCAAACCGAAAGTGATTGTATTTTCATTAATATTAAAGTTAAATATGTCGAGTTTGGACTCATTTTAAAGGATTTTTTATGAAGTTGACAAATATGTCAAAATTAAAAGCTGAAAGTTTGAACTTTTTGGTTTTTTGAGATAATGGCGTCAAGTTTAGACTTACTTTAAAGGTTATTTTATGAAGACTACGAATATAATAGCAAAATTAAAGTTGACATTGACAACTGAAAGTTTTTTTCACGACTAAACCCCAATGTTTCTTCTCCTCTTTAATTCTTCTCTAGAATTGTAGAAGTAGTTTCTTAATTAAGGTTAGTAATCATTGATAAGTTGTCTAAATTATTGGGATTTAGCTGGGAAATCATTCAAATTATTGGAAAGTTGTTTAAATGATGACAAACTGGTTCATGGCCACTTCACAAGTTGTTCTGAATCATTCGAAAATCCTCCAAATAATTGAAAACCATTTCAAACGCTTGCCAACTGTAACATTGTAACATTCTTTATAATGTTTGAGAACTGCGTGGTAATAATTCAAATATTACCTATATTATATTATATTTCAAATTGTTCAGAATAATTCAATTGCAACTCAAGACATTTCAAATATTTCTTAAGAAAAAATCTTATATTATAATTAATTGTTGGAGGGCTCCTTATATTTAATTTCCATAAAGATTGGACGTTTTAATTAAAACAACACAAAGTTTAATTTTATTTTTTTTGTAAAATAGAACTTTATTTTTGCGTGAAACGTTTCTTGTTGTAAAATGAAAACTAACAAAATAAATTATGCACAACTTAATTAAGTCATCGAACTCAAGCTCCTTTAAATGCTCGCTAATCGTAAAACTATTTGTTTTATTAAAAAATAATTATTAAGACGAAAAGAAAAAAAAAAAATCTATTTATTATTGTAAAACGGGGTTGTAATAGTAAAAACCCAAATTACTTATATACACGGTGAATTGTAAACACTATTTTCTTTTTCCTTCATCATAAAACTATCAAATTCTTCTTGATTTATTTATTTATTTAATTTTTTGTTTCATTTTCATTCTTATTTTTTTATCTCAATTTATTTAAGTTACAAAGAGAATGTTATTTCGCGTCGTGATTTTAATATAAAAACGCGTTTCATTAACAACAACAAACAACAGAACGAAAAAACCGTGAAATGATATGCTGTCGTATGAATATTGCGTTTTAAATTGACTCTTATTTATTTATTTTTGTGTTTGTATCATTTCTTTATACAAAAATTTAATTAGTTTTTATTACGACAGTTTTTTATACATATCTTCGATTTGCGGGGTGAAGTACGACTTGATTTGTGGCCGTTTCGATTTCATTGTGGGTGTCAACAATCCATTTTGTACGCTAAATGGATCGGGGTGAAGATAAATATCTTTTACCTATCAAAAAAAAAGTGTTGTTAAAATTAAAACGATTTTGCTTTATTTATGAGTTTGTTACTTGTTCGAATGATTTTAACGCTCCTTCTCTTCCCCATGCTAACATATCGTCTAAAATTAATTGTTTTACTTCTGGGTGATTACACAAAACGCTTAATGTGCCGGGAATTCCATTCTCTTGTGCCCAGCATTTGATTACATCTACATCTGGTACAACAATTGCTACAATACATGACTGCAACCAAATTTTATTATCATTTTAATCATTTTTTAATTCATTTTTTACCTTTAATGATTCACCATGGACAAAAACTTGTTGTACATATTGAGATCTAATATAACAATTCTCTATTTTCTCAGGAACTATGTATTCGCCTTGAGATAATTTAAAAATGTGCTTTTTTCTATCGATAATTTTTAAGGTTCCGTTCTAAAATCATTCATAAATTAAATTAATTCGATTCTTCTTCTTATTATTTTAACCATACATTTTGCCACATTCCTATATCCCCGGTGTGGTGCCATCCATTTTCATCAATAGTCTCATCTGTATTCTCTTGATCTTTGTAATACCCCTTAAAAACGTTTGTTCCTTTGACGCAAACTTCGCCTTGGTTGTTTTTGGCCCAATACTCCATTTCGGGCACATCGACCAATTTGACGCAACAACAAGCGACGGGGGGACCAACATGTCCTGGGACGTAATCGCCTTGAACTGTTAACGAAATTGGGGCGCAACATTCCGTTTGACCATAACCTTCAACCACCAAACAACCCAACGCGCAACGAATAAACGTCAAAACATTTTCTGCCAAAGGCGCGGATCCCACTAACATAAATCGAAGCCGCCCTCCCATTCCTTCCTGAACTTTCCTAAATACCAACATATCCCAGAAACTGTTATTCCTTATAATCCCTCTTTTAATTTCGTTTTCTTTCGCACTCATCGCCATGTTGTACAACATTTTTTTAATGCAACTCCTTCCGATTTCGTTTTGAACCTTATCGTAGATTCTGTTTAATAATCGTGGAACTGCTGGGGTCACCGTTGGTCTTAAAGCTTTCATGTCATCGCTTAACCTTCTGATATCTCCCGAATAAAATCCAACGGCCGCCCCAACCAGGTACATCGCGTTCTCACAACAACGTTCCAACATATGGGCCAACGGCAAAAATGATATCATAACATCACTACTGACCGGTTTGTGATCCCCTAATTGCATTATTACCGCGCAAACTGATGCCATAACGTTCTCGTGTGTTAACATGACACCTTTCGGATTTCCCGTCGTTCCACTCGTATAACAAATTGTACATAAATCAGACGGTTTCGGTGGCTAAAACAAATTAATTCATGATAAGAGACGTTATACATCACTTGACTAAGCGACATTTTATCGTTGTTAAAGATTTTCATGCTGTTTGGTAGGTAAAGGTTATATTTTGTGTATAAATTGTTTCAAAATTATAATTTTTGTTAAGTTCCCTACATTTTATTTTTTTGGTTCATGTCTCTAAGTGCATTCGTTCATTTTTAAGAACGAAATGAATTTGTCACTAACTATTTACTTAACCCTTTGTGTCCCAAGAAGTCAAAAATTTTCAAACTTTGTGACAGAATTAAAACGCTATCAAAATACACTCAGCAAAGGCCTTTGGAATTAATTTTAGCAAAATATGCAATCCCCCCATTCCGGGGGGATAATGGTACTTGAGTTGCTTTGGCAGAACAATTTTCACAACTTTCTCTTTCTTTTGAATTTGCGCTACGACATTTTCGTGAACGCAGAAAATTTGAATATACAGAACGACGAAAATCTGATAGAATATTGAGAAAAAACATATTGAGCAAAAACTAAGTGTCAAAAAAGATGCTAATTCAAAAATTTCTGGAAGCCGTGTTTATTGGAATTAAGAAATGAAACTTATTTTAAATTGAAGTTTCAAGCTTTCTGTTTAAATCGATATATAATAATCATTGGGTTGGATTGGAAAAATATTGAAAAAAAATGTTGAAACAAAACTTACATTTTCGTATAACCTAAACGTGTCAGAAAAAGATGCTAATTTAAAAACTCCTGGAAGCTGTATTTATTGGAATTAAGGAATGAGACTTATTCTAAATTAAAGCTCAAAGCTTTCTCTTTAAAATGATATATAATAATTGTTGGGTTGGATTGGAAAAATATTGAGAAAAAGAATGTTGTAACAAAAGCTACATTTTCGTATAACCTAAAAGTGTCAAAAAAGATGCTAATTTAAAAACTCCTGGAAGCCGTATTTATTGAAATTAAGGAATGAGACTTATTCTAAATTAAAGCTCAAAGCTTTCTCTTTAAAATGATGTATAATAATTGTTGGGTTGGATTGGAAAAATATTGAGAAAAAAAATGTTGAAACAAAACTTACATTTTCGTATAACCTAAAAGTGTCAAAAAAGATGCTAATTTAAAAATTCCTGGAAGCCGTATTTATTGAAATTAAGGAATGAGACTTATTCTAAATTAAAGCTCAAAGCTTTCTCTTTAAAATGATGTATAATAATTGTTGGGTTGGATTGGAAAAATATTGAGAAAAAAAATGTTGAAACAAAACTTACATTTTCGTATAACCTAAAAGTGTCAAAAAAGATGCTAATTTAAAAATTCCTGGAAGCCGTATTTATTGAAATTAAGGAATGAGACTTATTCTAAATTAAAGCTCAAAGCTTTCTCTTTAAAATGATGTATAATAATTGTTGGGTTGGATTGGAAAAATATTGAGAAAAAAAATGTTGAAACAAAACTTACATTTTCGTATAACCTAAAAGTGTCAAAAAAGATGCTAATTTAAAAATTCCTGGAAGCCGTATTTATTGAAATTAAGGAATGAGACTTATTCTAAATTAAAGCTCAAAGCTTTCTCTTTAAAATGATGTATAATAATTGTTGGGTTGGATTGGAAAAATATTGAGAAAAAAAATGTTGAAACAAAACTTACATTTTCGTATAACCTAAAAGTGTCAAAAAAGATGCTAATTTAAAAATTCCTGGAAGCCGTATTTATTGAAATTAAGGAATGAGACTTATTCTAAATTAAAGCTCAAAGCTTTCTCTTTAAAATGATGTATAATAATTGTTGGGTTGGATTGGAAAAATATTGAGAAAAAAAATGTTGAAACAAAACTTACATTTTCGTATAACCTAAAAGTGTCAAAAAAGATGCTAATTTAAAAATTCCTGGAAGCCGTATTTATTGAAATTAAGGAATGAGACTTATTCTAAATTAAAGCTCAAAGCTTTCTCTTTAAAATGATGTATAATAATTGTTGGGTTGGATTGGAAAAATATTGAGAAAAAAAATGTTGTAACAAAACTTACATTTTCGTATAACCTAAAAGTGCCAAAAAAGATGTTAATTTAAAAATTCCTGGAAGCCGTATTTATTGAAATTAAGGAATGAGACTTGTTCTAAATTAAAGCTCAATGCTTTGAATCTTTTTAAAACGATCAACAAATTCAAACACCACTTTTCATTAAACTTCTAACCTCACATCTGGACGAATAAGTTTAAATATACCTAAAAACCCTACAGTGCGGATTGTGCCATTTTTTATACTGATTCTTTCTTGCATAGTAGAAAGTACCAACAGCTCTAAATGCGCCGAATAGATTACTACAGTTCAAAATGAGTGTTTAAAACTACCGGTACTTTAAAGTACCGTCGGGACACAAAGGGTTAAGATACTTTACGTTTTAATAAGGTGGCTTTGCTCATTGTTATTCTAATGACAGTTGGACAGTGATTTTTTATACAGAAGATTAGTACCATGGTTATTCTCTGTCTTGAAGATGGGCGTAATTATGAATGTGTTGCAAGAATCGTTCATGTTCATCGCTCCACTATTAAAAGAGTGATTACACAAACTGGAAGAAATAAGAGAAAGGCAGGAAGCGGTAGAAAACGAAAAACCGCTGCTGTTGATGACAGATTTATTCGTGTTATAGCTTTGCGGAATCGTCATTTAACGTCAGTATAGACGAAAAATGAGCTTCGACAGGTCCGAGGTACAAATGTGAGCAATTCGCCGAAGACTAAAGGAATCTGGGTTGAAAGCTTGCAGAGGAATTGAGGATTTGAGGCAATGGAACAATGTTCTCTTCACCGATGAATTCAGGTTCCGCTTACATTCTCCAAATGGGCGGAAAAGAGTGTGGAGAAGAAATGGAGAAAGGTTTGCGGAATGCACATTTAGCCCCCGTCTGAGTTATGGAGGTGGTTCAGTAATGATGTGGGCAGAAATAAGCCGGGAAGCCTGCACTGATTTGGTCATCATCGATGAATCATTAACTGCCCACCGATAAATAATTACGTGCAACCCTTCAGTGAGTTTATAGGCGATGATTTTATCCTAATGCAGGATAATGCACGGCCTCATACAGCCATGTGTGTTACACAATACCTCAATGAAGTGGTTAATCTATTTGTAGAGTCTCTGAAGATGGCCAAGGGCCGAAACTGGTTAGACTTATCTATATAAAGTAAAAACCAGTATAAAAGTACCAATCAAACTCTAGATTAATTTCTTCAAAAATGTTTACACGAATCGTCATCATTTTGTCTTTAGTTTTAGTGATTAAATTTATGCCACGACTTACAGAAACTGTTCTTGTGATAGCCAAACAATTTTGAATAGTTTGAACCTGTTTATTCTGAGACGTCTTACATTTTTCTCAACATTATTTATTTGTCGCTTAGTCAAGTGATCCATAACGCGGTGCAATTATAAAATTGGTGAGAAGTTGTTGGGTAAGAAATTTATGAAAGCCTGATGATGGGAATAATTCCCGAAACGTCGACTTATTTGTAATGGTTTAGAAATAAATATTTTANAAAAGAGTGTGGAGAAGAAATGGAGAAAGGTTTGCGGAATGCACATTTAGCCCCCGTCTGAGTTATGGAGGTGGTTCAGTAATGATGTGGGCAGAAATAAGCCGGGAAGCCTGCACTGATTTGGTCATCATCGATGAATCATTAACTGCCCACCGATAAATAATTACGTGCAACCCTTCAGTGAGTTTATAGGCGATGATTTTATCCTAATGCAGGATAATGCACGGCCTCATACAGCCATGTGTGTTACACAATACCTCAATGAAGTGGTTAATCTATTTGTAGAGTCTCTGAAGATGGCCAAGGGCCGAAACTGGTTAGACTTATCTATATAAAGTAAAAACCAGTATAAAAGTACCAATCAAACTCTAGATTAATTTCTTCAAAAATGTTTACACGAATCGTCATCATTTTGTCTCTAGTTTTAGTGATTAAATTTATGCCACGACTTACAGAAACTGTTCTTGTGATAGCCAAACAATTTTGAATAGTTTGAACCTGTTTATTCTGAGACGTCTTACATTTTTCTCAACATTATTTATTTGTCGCTTAGTCAAGTGATCCATAACGCGGTGCAATTATAAAATTGGTGAGAAGTTGTTGGGTAAGAAATTTATGAAAGCCTGATGATGGGAATAATTCCCGAAACGTCGACTTATTTGTAATGGTTTAGAAATAAATATTTTAAAGGAGGAAATTTCACATATTAAAACAAATTAATTAAATTTTTTAATTACCGTTTCTGGATGGTGTCTTTTCGAACCTTGAACTTCAACGTCAGAAAACTTAATAATCTCAACTCCACGGTTTTTCGCTCTTTGCTTAGTCGCCGCTCGAACGTCTTTAACAACGATCAATTTTTGCATACAACGTGGACCTTTGTCCAATAGGAAATTGCATTTTTGGTCGTCATCGCATACGACAACATTTATAGAGGCTAAAAAAGTACAATTTAATTTTTAACAAATTTGTGTAATTGTACAAGTACAATTTTTGATTTATTTAATTTTATTTTTTTTTACTTTGTTTAATGATGAAGGCACATGCGTCCGGACCGAGGGTATCGTATAACGGAACTAAAACCATGCTGTAACAATAAAGAGCTTGTTCGGTTAGGATCCATTCGGGGCAATTCTGAGCGTAAATCCCTATAAAAGTTTCCGTTCCCGGTTGTAAACCCATTTGAATTAATCCAGCACCGAAATTTTTCGCTCTTAATAAAGCTTCATTGTAGTTTAACCATTGGTAAGGTTTGTTATACGATTCTCTCCAACCCAAACAAGGACCATTATCTGAAAAATTAATTAAAATATGTGTGAAAAGAGTCAGTTTAAACATATAAATAATATTAATAACATTTGATATTGGCTTTGATGATGAAACAACAAAAATTTACATAATATCGTTTACTGCATGAATCCAGTATACAGTATATGATTCCAGTATACAGGGTGATTCATTAGCTCTATGACAAACTTTGGCAGATGAAAGGTGATGCGATTCTAAGGAAAAAATGTTATATGAATATGGGTCCGATTCATTTTGGTTAACGAGTTACAAGCCTTTGAAAATTTTACACAGTTTAATAGGCAAATGAAAATGTAACATAAAAAATAAGTTTAAAAATTACAAAAATTGTTCGAAATGTCCGCCTTCAGCTTGAATGCACGCTTCACATCGACGAAGTAAAGATTTGCAACAATAATTATGAAGCACAAATACAGAGTTGGCTGTGATAACAAAACTGAGTTCTTTATGTCAAACATTTCAATTTACTCTATTCTGTGTGTTTCAAAGTTTATAATTGTCAGAGTTTTGATCGAAAACGAAAATGCATGTATTTACGACTGAAGAATATGCAGATATTATTTTTGTATACGGGCTTTGTAACGGAAACGCTCGGCAAGCAGCAAGAGAATACCTTCGTAGGCTTCCACATAGACATCAACCTGCCCATGCAGTGTTTAGTGCATCATTTCGCAGACTGAGAGAAACAGGTAACCCCGCTCCACTAGATTCCGTTCGTCCCCATGATGTGAATGTACAAAATGAAGAACGTGTTATTGATTTAGTACTTGACGACCCTTCAATTAGTACTCGGCGTATAGCGAGCATGTTACAAATATCCCAAAGTTTTGTATGGCGTGTATTGAATCGAGAAATGTTACATCCGTTTCATCGCCAAAATGTTCAAGCATTACATCCTGGAGATACTGAACAACGCTTAGCATTTTGCCGTTGGATTATTCAGCAACATGCTCAAAATAATAACTTCATTTCCCAAGTTTTGTGGTCTGATGAAGCGTGTTTCACTAGGGACGGCATAAATAATTATCATAACGAACATGTGTGGTCCTTGCAAAATCCACATGCAATTAGACCAGGAAGATTTCAGCAACGGTTTAGTGTAGACGTTTGAGGTGGCATTTTTAACAATTCTTTGCTACCTGTATGGGTGATAAATGAACGCTTAAATGCAAATATGTACAGAAATTTCTTGGGACATAACCTTTTCGATTTTATCGACGACGTACCACTTAACATCGTTCAAAATATGTGGTATCAGCACGATGGTGCACCACCACATCGAGGAAGAGAAGTCATCGCTTGGTTACATGAACATTTTCCAAACAAATGTATTGGCAATGGAGGTCCAGTAGTCTGGCCACCACGATCTCGAGATCTAAATCCGCTGGATTATTATTTCTGGGGACACATGAAGCAGCTTGTGTACCATGTAGAAATTACTACCCGTCAGCAACTACTGGACAGAATTCAAGATGCAGCTAATAGCATACGGAATGATCCAAATATCATACGTCGTGTGATAGAATCTTTACTTCGTCGATGTGAGGCGTGCATTCAAGCTGAAGGCGGACATTTTTGTAATTTTTAAACTTATTTTTTATGTTACATTTTCATTTGCCTATTAAACTGTGTAAAATTTTCAAAGGCTTGTAACTCTTTAACCAAAATGAATCGGACCCATATTCATATAACATTTTTTCCTTAGAATCGCATCACCTTTCATCTGCCAAAGTTTGTCATAGAGCTAATGAATCACCCTGTATAGAATATCATTTTAGTATATAATAGATGATTCCAGTATCACGTGGATGATGTCAAAACCCAAAAGTTAGATGCAATGTGTATGGTAATTACTAAAACCAAACAACAGGGAACTTTTTAGGACTTGCTCGTAGCAGCATAAAAGTACTAATGGGTGTGTTTACTGGGCATTGCCGATTAAAAGCACACCTCAATTTGTTGGGTTTAGCCGACGATGTTGAATGCCGATTATGTGCGGAGGAAGCAGAGACGATTGAGCATGTTTTATGCCACTGCCCTGCTGTTAACCGTATCAGATTCATGATTTTTGGGTCGCAGTTTATCTCCTCAAAGGATGTGAATGACCTTTTACCGAGCAAGGTATTAATGTTCGTTAACAGCATTGGACGGACTGCACTGTGAAATTTGATAACGATATCTATTGGGGTACAATAGATCTAGATTTGTAGATTTGAGCAGGAAAGAAAGACAAAATATGTGGCTGCAAAATAATGGGTGTCCAGCACATTTTTCACATATTGTTTTCGAGATAATCACTTGTCTCACGTTAAATAACCCTGTATATACATACAGTGTGTTAATTAATTTTCGTACCTGACGTCTTAATTCAAGTATGCAACCAATATCACAGTATTGGTATTGCAATATACGATTTGTGTATTACAATATCTATACTGTGATGTTGGTTGCATACTTGCAATGATGACGTCGGGTACGATAATTAATTAACACACTGTATATATCTTATCTTCCACACACTATCTGTTAAGAACTATTATTATAAGATGTGTAGGCATTATTTGGACAGCAAGTGTTAAATGAATATTTTTCCTTATGACTTATGTCGACCAAAAGAAAACCATTTCGATTTTCATCTCATTTAAATAATATTAATTTGATGATGAAAAACTTACTTGCTTCTTTGGCACCTCTTCGAAAACCTTCGTATAAAGTCCTCGTATCTGAATAAAGATAGCTGACGAATTGGCCTTCCTTAGCATCCTTAAAAAATTTTGATATCCTGATCAATTCTGGACCCTGAAAAACAAATTAATTTCTCAAATACGTTTCCACATTCTTAATTTTTAAAAGAATGTCGAATTAAAAAAAAAACGTAAAATTAAGCACTTAAATATTGGACAAACGCCAATTTAAATACACGAAGGTGATCCTTAAATGTGATTTTTGGCTATGCAGAAATAAAAATTGTTGCAGACACCACACCTATTTATCATATCTTCTAGGTCATCATTTCCAAAAAATTAACATCAAATTAAAGGTTTGTTTAAAATAATTTGTTGAACACCAACTCAAATTGAAACCAATTTAAATGTCAATGAGCTAAATTTATCGTTTACTTTTAAACTTGACATTTTATGTTATTATTTATGTTTTTTTTTTGATTTCTTTTTTATTAGAATTTTTTAAACTTGAATCATACACCCAAAAGACAAAAATGAAAATATTAAATCGTATGAAAGGTTAATAAATCAAAGTCGGTAGACTATAACATAACTTCATTTATGTTATTTTAGCATTACAAATTATTGCATAAGACGTACTCTGATGGATCACGTGCGGGAATGTTTATTTTTAGAAATAAAGCAATAAATTACCATCTAATTGCATTCAAAATGCGTTCAGCCACGTTCGCTAAACATTAATCATAACTTACTAAACGAAGTAGAACTTAAAAGCTTTTAATTAAATTTTGAAATTGTTTATTTGTACAAATTATGCGACTTACTCTGGTTTTGTAAACATCGGTTTGATTATTTAAATTAATCGGGACGTGAATCGGCTGAACTGTAGCGCAACAACACTTGCAACACATTTTTTAAAATTTTTCTTTTAAGAAATAGAAAAAAATTAATTCATATTCACAATGTCGTCTCGAACACTTTTATTTTCCTACGAGAAAATGTCCACCTCACCAAATCTCAGACTCTACTTGGCTAACGTTCAATAACACGAAATTTACGTAAATGTTCTTCAATTATAAATAGGATGGAGGACAATTTTTGTTCAACAAATCACCGATAAACGTTCGTTTTCTTTATCTTTCTAATAGAAATTCCTCTCCGAATTGGATTTCAACTGAGTGATAATAATTTTTCGGGAGGAAAGCACGGTCCGGTTGATTTTCAACTACTGAAAAGCTTTCATTCGAGTTAGAATCGTTAAATAGTAGAGATGACCCTCACTCCACTTCACCATTACAAAAATATAACGAGATGCCGATTCGTAAAAAAAAAGAACAAATCACGAGGTGTTGTTACAAAATTTTCTTGTTAATTTTCCCTTATTAATCATTAAATTTAAAAATTTAATTGATTGCGTTGATTGATTTTGAAAATTTAGAGATATTTAAAGGTTTCAAAACAAACATATTGACAGAAATGATTTTCGATCTAATTTTGGGTCTGTTTTTATTGAAATATTATTCGATGCGAGTGACAAATCGTCTTCTATCGAAATATAAAAGCATAAATATGTACAGATTGAAATGTTCTATCGTATCTTGTCTAAACTTCTATTTTTTTACAAATGAAGAAACAAATAGAACCGAGTTTAAATAATCATAACAACCAGGTTTATGGAAAATAAGATATCATTTATGGCATATTAAATCTTCATTAAATTTGCTTTAAAATGTTCTTTATCTCATCGTTATATCTCAATTCGTTCTTAAGATACGATTCTCTAAATTTCTATTTTTTTACAAATAAATAAACTAGCAAAGCTGAGTTTAAAAAATCATAACAATCAGGTTTATGGAAAATAAGATATCATTTATGGCATATTAAATCTTCATTAAATTTGCTTTAAAATGTTCTTTACCTCATCGTTATATCTCAATTCGTTCTTAAGATACAATTCTCTAAACCTCTATTTTCTTTACAAATAAATAAACAAGCAGAGCTGAATTTAAAAAATCATAACAATCAGGTTTATGGAAAATAAGATATCATTTATGGTATATTAAACCTTCATTAAATTTGCTTTAAAATGTTCTTTATCTCATCGTTATATTTCAATTCGTTCTTAAGATACGATTCTCTAAACTTCTATTTTTTTACAAATAAATAAACAAGCAGAGCTGAGTTTAAAAAATCATAACAGTCAGGTTTATGGAAAATCAGATATCATTCATGGCATATTAAATCTTCAATAAATTTGCTATAAAATGTTCTTTACCTCATCGTTATATCTCAATTCGTTCTTAAGATACGATTCTCTAAACTTCTATTTTTTTACAAATAAATAAACAAGCAGAGCTGAGTTTAAAAAATCATAACAATCAGGTTTATGGAAAATAAGATATCATTTATGGCATATTAAATCTTCAATAAATTTGCTTTATAATGTTCTTTACCTCATCGTTATATCTCAATTCGTTCTCAAGATGCGATTTCTTAAATTTCTATTTTTTTTACAAATTAAAAAAATGTAGAGCTGAGTTTAAAAAAATCATAACGACCAGGTTTATGGAATATAAGAAATCATTTATGACACATCAAATCTTCATTAAATTTGCTTTAAAACGTGCTTTATTTCATCGTTTTATCTCAATTTGTTTTTAAGATACGAGATTTTTTAAATTTCTGTTTTTTACAATCAAACAAGCGGAGCTAAGTTTAAAGAATCATAACAACGTGATTTATGGATAGTAAGAAATTATTTATGGCACATTGAATCTACATTAAATTTGCTACAAAATGATCTTTACTTCATCATCATATCTCAATTCGTTTTTGAGATACGATTCTTTTTAGCAACTACTTTTTTTATGAGATCATTATCTTGATGATTCTTTTGGCGCTTAAATAAAGTATCATTGACCCACTCACAGTCCGTTAGACGAACGAAAAACTTTGATTGATTCAGTTCAATGCTAACGGAACATTCTCGATCATCATCTCAACGAAAAAAAAATCTTTAGAGTTCATCATCTCTTTTAAATAGCCGAGTTGTATTAAAAACTTTTTTTAGTGGATTATTTTCTTGTAGTGGTCTCTAAAAATACATCGTGGTTTCTAATTTTGTTACATCTTCGACGTAGAGAATACGTAATAAGATTTAAAACGATGTATTTACCGGTAAAAGCGTGCACTGTTCATCTAGAGGAAATAGTGGTTTTTGTGGTGCTGGTCTGCTTGCCAAATAAAACGCTGAAGCTGCGGCCACTCCCGTCAAAGCCAAAGCACCGGCTCCACCTCCAATGTAATGAAGGTATTGCTCCATATCTTCCACTAAAAACAAAATAAAAACGAAATTTATTAATAAATAATAAGTTTAAAACGTTGTATCACATCTTTAAGATCTATTTTACTTCTGAACAAAACTCTTGGCAAGAACCTGAGCGTCTATGACAGATAAAGACGACCTAAATAACGGGTGATTTAATTTATTTTTAAAATAGAAATAATTATTTGGTGTTAATTTGAATAATTTGGGCCAAAAATTCTTAATCTCCATTAAATTTCCTTTAAAATGAACCCAAACTCGATGTGGTTATCTCAAAAAATAAAGCTAATCATGAAGTTAGCCATATAAAGTTAAACAACGTGAAGTTGGATTTAAATGAGTTATAACTCGGTTGTTTTTTGAGATAAACCCATCGAGTTTGTACTCATTTTAAAGGATTTTTTGTGTTGTATAAAATGAATTATTTATTTTTTTTTAATTTAACGTCTATAAAAATTTGAAAAAACCTTTTCAAAGTTTCACATTCCTTTTAAGTCTCTCTAACCTTTTCAGTTACTGTTACATAAAATGACAATAAGGCAGTTAGGTTCGTTGAACTGTTCGGGACTGAAAACTATCGCGTGGGTTTCCTGGATGCATTTCGAGCGCTCGGGATAATAAATTTCGAATTTTTCCAAAGTCAGGAACGAGTAGAAAGTGGGTGAGCTGTAACTCGGCGCTCGCTGAAGCTCTCGCGATCTCTTCGTGTGTAATAGGTGAAAGATTTCGATCCCGGTTAATGCCGGATACAATAAACCATTTAAAATGGGGTGCGCAACCATGTTAGGAGGAATGTTTTCTTTGAGAACTTTCTTAAATTAGAAATAACTTTGGGCGATCTCTAAAGAGAAAACGAGAATTAAAAATAATTTCTCAATTGGTTCCCAAAGTAATTTAAGGAGCCCGATTTTTTTTTTCGTTGCTTAATTTTTGATTGTGCTCCTCTCAATTACTGTCAGGCATGGTGTTCAGTTTGGAAGTGTATTGACTCCAAAAAATCGGGTTCACTGCTCCCTCGATTTATATTTTGATTGGCCAATTTCGAAAAAGGAGCGATGCGAAATGAAATAATCGCAACGGAGTCACATTCGCGAGGGCAATAAACTACAAATCGATATAACAAAAATTGTTTCTATTCATCAAAATTTAATCCATCAAGATTTAACCCAGAAAGATTGAATCCATAAAGTAAAACTTAATAACTTACAATTTCTCGTTTCCGGTCCATTTTCTTCTTTAACCCGCTTAATTCTTTTCTTAACGATTTTTTTCTGACTTTTCTTACGACCGTTCACGTACGTTTTCACGTAATTAATTATTTCTTCCTTCATATTAAGATTTAATTTCGATAAAATAGTTCATTGAATCACAATTTTCAAAATGAAACGAAAAAATAATAAAAATTTTATTTCTTTAGTGACTTCTTGCATAAGCGCCTATCCGGGCACTTGTGCGTAGTACCAAAGAAGTGTGGCACAATTTAAGTTTTACCGAGCTGCCACTACTACTTCTTCTTCGAGAGACGAAGAGATCTCTTTGGTTGTGGTTCAGTATCCGTCGCGGCTTTGCACCACAATAATTTGATCGTTAGGAATTGTCCCGAAAAAATTATTATTCAATTATACTTTCATTAATTTAAACATTTTTTTTATGTCACCACAATGAAATGTTATACTTAGGCGGTGTTTAACACAACAATGCGTGCGTATCGGTTCGCGTAACGCTTTTATACTCACGTGTACGACTTAAAAAAACCACTACACTCTGTACAATATATATCGGCGATATCTATCGTAGTGGGGTTGGATACATTTATTTATCTTTTCTTATACAATAATTTCGTTGTAAATTTTGGTTCTTATCTGGATAAAGAATGACGTAAGGATACTAATCTTTATGTTTTAATATTAATTGAGTTTAAAATTTTTCACTTAATGTGGAGAAACTTGATATGCTGAGTAATAAATTCTGTTATAAACTCGCCGCGTTAGATTTGATAATTTTATGATTACGTTGCGTTCTTGCAAGATATTATATACTTAAAATATTAACAATTTTTTAATAATAAAACTAATATATAACCGATTTCAACCTAAAAGACCATCTTCAACACTTCAAAAGCAAAGAGGATTAATATACCCACTAATTTTGAATTCCTCATCGAATTTCCGTTAATTTGAGTACAAACTCGACGGGGTTTGATAAAATTTTGTTTGTTCCAAAATGGCGGATTGACGTAAAAATTAAGATGGAGGGTTAAAATCAAAATTAATAAAAATATATCGTGTTGGGGATGATTTAAATTGCGGATTTCAAAAATATCCTAATAAAAATTAATAATAAATCGGTTTTAATTAATTATTTCGTTTATAATAAAAATTTCGTTCATTTTGAAATTAATTTTGAATTCCTTATCGAATTTCCGTTAATTTGAGTACAAACTCGATGGGGTTTGATGAAATTTTGTTTGTTCCAAAATGGCGGATTGACGTAAAAATTAAGATGGAGGGTTAAAATCAAAATTAATGAAAATATATCGTGTTGGGTATCGTTTTGGGATGATTTAAATCGCGGATTTCAAAAATATCATAACAAAAATTTAATAATAAATCGGTTTTAATTAATTATTTCGTTTATAATAAAAATTTCGTTAGTTTTGAAATTAATTTTGAATTCCTTATCGAATTTCCGTTAATTTGAGTACAAACTTGATAGAATTTGATGAAATTTTGTTTTATATAAGATGGCGTTGACATAAAAATTAAGATGGCGGATTGACGTAAAAATAAAGATGGAGGCTTAAAATTAAAATTAATGAAAATATATCATGTTGGGTATCATTTCGGGATGATTTGAGGTGGAGATTCCAATTATATCAATCAATGTCAGTTTCGAGTAATAAGTTATTTTAAATCAGTTATTTTACCTCTAATTTTTAACACATTAGAACTTTTAAACGAAGTTGGAACCGCTCCTAAGCGGACTATACAACTTATGTCTTCTTACAATGTCGATATTGCTTGTATATCAGCTATCTATTTGGCGCTAGGCGAAGACTTTAGAACAGCAGGTAGAGGAAGAACCAATAGAGGAACAGCACACCATCAGAAATTAACTGCAACTTACTTACTACAACTTGCTTAATACATAAAAGGGATGAAAATCTCCATATTTCGCTAATATAATAAAATATGATGTACATCATATTTTACGCTTAATACAGTTTTGAAAAACCTGCCAGATAAAATAATCGGCCANTGAAAATATATCGTGTTGGGTATCGTTTTGGGATGATTTAAATCGCGGATTTCAAAAATATCAACAAAAATTTAATAATAAATCGGTTTTAATTAATTATTTCGTTTATAATAAAAATTTCGTTAATTTTGAAATTAATTTTAAATTCCTTATCGAATTTCCTTTAATTTGAGTACAAACTCGACGGGGTTTGATGAAATTTTGTTTGTTCCAAAATGGCGGATTGACGTAAAAATTAAGATGGAGGGTTAAAATCAAAATTAATGAAAATATATCGTGTTGGGTTTCGTTTTGGGATGATTTAAATCGGGGATTTCAAAAATATCCTAATAAAAATTAATAATAAATCGGTTTTAATTAATTATTTCCTTTATAATAAAAATTTCGTTAATTTTGAAATTAATTTTGAATTCCTCATCGAATTTCCTTTAATTTGAGTACAAACTCGATGGGGTTTGATGAAATTTTATTTATTCCAAAATGGCGGATTGACGTAAAAATTAAGATGGAGGGTTAAAATCAAAATTAATGAAAATATATCGTGTTGGGTATCGTTTTGGGATGATTTAAATTGGGGATTTCAAAAATATCATAATAAATCGATTTTAATTAATTATTTCGTTTATAATAAAAATTTCGTTAATTTTGAAATTAATAATGAATTCCTTATCGAATTTCCTTTAATTTGAGTACAAACTCGATGGGGTTTGATGAAATTCTGTTTGTTCCAAAATGGCGGATTGACGTAAAAGTTAAGATGGAGGGTTAAAATCAAAATTAATGAAAATATATCGTGTTGGGTATCATTTCGGGATTATTTGAGGCGTAGATTCCAACTATATCAATCTATGTCCGTTTCGAGCAATAAGTTAGAGTCGTAAATCAGTTATTTTACCTATCATCTCTAATTTTTAACGCATTCGAACCTTTAAACGAAGTTGAAACTGCTTCTAAGCGGACTATACAACTTATGTCTTCTTACAATGTCGATATTGCTTGTATATCAGCTATCTATTTGGCGCTAGGCGAAGACTTTAGAACAGTAAGTAGAGGAAGAACCAATAGAGGAATAGCACACCATCAGAAATTCATTCAGTTCTTCACTTAACATTTATCAATATAAAATAATATAATAATATTCAATTTAACATTAATCTCATTCAAAACAACATTAAAAAATTATTTGATAACAACGTCGCAAAAATACTTAAAAAAAGAAGCTGAAGCAAAATTTGAATGCAGAGCAGATAATCCAAACAGCAGTAAAGTTATCGAGAGTATCAACTAGACATCAATCTAGTAATTACGTTTAATATACATAGTTTTGAAAAACCTGCCAGATAAAATAATCGGCCAAGTTTGGTTATTTCCCAACAACTTGGAAAAAGGCAGAAATATTGATATTGTCAAAACCGGGAAAAAAGAATCCAACGCTGTCAAAGATATTTGAGAAGATTATTTATGCAAGATTATCAAAGGAATTGATGGTTTAAAGAAATCTTGTATTAGACGTGTCTTCTTCAGACTATCTCTGTACCAAGATGTTCTTGTTTTCAAACATCTATGGGACTTGGTACTTCTAATGCTTGAGGAACTGGACAAGTGATTGAATAAGTGATTTTATAGCATAGATGCCATAGATCATAGATCGTATTTTAAGAGTGGTCTGGTATTTTCTGTCTCTCCAGAAGACATTTTGAGAAAAAATTCCTTTCTGATCAAAACGTCTCAGTCTCCAACCATGTCC